AGAGTATTTGTCACCTAGTATCTTGATCTTGATTTTGGTCTTTTTTTTTTTTTGAATCTTCATAGCAATGATCAGGAACAGATTTCAACTACCAAATCCAATTCCTAGTCCTCAAGACTAGAAAGAACCCTCAGTAGCGGAGAAATTCTGTTTTTCTTTTTTTTGTTTGTTTTGGGGCCACACCTGGTGATGCTCAGGTGTTACTCTGGTCTGCACTCAGGGATCACTTCTGCAATGCTCAGGGGTCCACATGGAATGCCAGAAATTGAATGTGGGTTGTCCACAAGCAAAGCAAGCATCCTTCATACTTTGCTATCTCTCTGGCCCCCAAATTCTATCTTTTAAGTCTTGATTTTAAGCAATTATAACCCGAAGTCTAGTAGGAAAGGTATTATATTCAACAAAAACAATTGTTTCCAGAAAGGGAAGATTCCATCTGCAGCTGCTTGTTAAGCTTCAGACTTTTGAGAATTATGTTAAGAGAATGAGTTGCTGTGTAAAACCAATTGCTACTATAAAGAGAAACTGATTCATTGGCAAGAAAAACAGAAGCAAAAATAAACAAATGGTATTACATCAAACTAGTAAGAAAATGTACTTCAAAAGAAACTATTACTAAAAAAATAATAGTTCTTACTGAACTGGAAAAAAAAGTCCCACACCATATATCTGACTAGTATCTTAGGTATCAGATATTATATCTTTGAGGATAATATCTAAGATACATAAGCAGACACAAAAGTCAACAACAAAGGGGACAGAGAATAGTACAGCAGGTAGGACACTTGTCTTGCACTTGACTAAAATGGATTCAATCCCTGACATCCCATATGGTCTCCTGAATAGCATCAGGAGTGATACCTGAGTACAGAGCTAGGAGTAAGTCATCAGCACCCAGGATGTGGCCCCAAAATAAACCCTTCACCAAAAGGTCAATAACACAAAAGTAAATAACCCCACCAAAAATGAGGCATACCTAATGAATAGAGAATTTCTTTCGGGTGTAATGAAAAAATCTTAAAGTTAGATTGTGATGAAAGTTGTACAATGTTGCAAGTATGTTAAAGACACTGGGAAAAAAAGGGGAAAGATGGAGAGACACTTCTCCAAAAACATACAGATGACCAATAGGCACATTTAAAAAAATGTTCAGCATCACCAATTATTGTGGAAATATGAATAAAAATGACAATGCAACCTCACCAGAGTGAGAATGGCCTATGTCAGGAAGGCCAGAAGCAACAAATGCAGAGGGAAGCGGTAAACATGCACTGCCAATGGGAAGGAAGGTATTTCAGCCTCTATGGAAAACAGTATGAAGACTTAAAAAAAATGTTTTAAACACTATAATGTTCTGAAGTGGCACTTATGCTTTATCCCAAGAACACAAAAACATGAATTCTAAATGTTTTCTGCACACTATGTTAACTGCAGCATTATTTACAGTAGTAAAGATCTGGAAACAATCCAAGATCCCAATAACCAATGAGTGGGTAAAGAAATTATGGCATATATACACAATGGAATACTATTTAGCTATAAGAAAAATGAAGTCTTGTATTTTTCTGCAATGTGTATGGAACCAGGTTGTGTTGCCTTAAGCAAAATAGGTCAGAAGAAGAAAGATAAATACCAGATGATCTCACTCCCATGTGGTATAGAAAGAAACAAAGCAAAAGGTGAAATATCAGCCAGTAAAAACTAATCCTTAGGGGCTGCGGATGCAGCTCAGACGTAAAATGCATCCTGGCATGTCTGAGACCTGGACTCAGTCTCCAGCACCGAGAAAACAAACTAACAAACAAAAGACCTAACCCAGAGATTGACCATAGACCTGAGGTTACCAAGGGGGTAGAAAAGGGGAGAAGGGCTCCTGTGTGCTGTGCTGGAGAGATACCGGTCCTTCAGGAGTTGGGTATTAACAGTGTGTCCCAATCCTGATCCACAGAAACGTTTATACTCTTACAAATAAACATTTTAGGAATAAAGCATGGAGAAATGGATGGAATGGGTGCATGTTGGGCTTTGGAAGAACAAACTATAAGAAGCTCAGAGGCAGGAAGGACAGAGACATGAAAGTTCTCCTGCAGGAGTGAGAAGGTGGTGGTGGAGGATTAAGAACATCAACTTCATAGTGCAGTTGATCCTCACGAACTTAAGTGCAGAGTATAGAGTTGAGGACCTAGGATATTGTGTTAGCTTTCTTCTGCATCTTCAGCTCAGCTGGCTTGGGAACAACATTGCACCGAATGATCAAACTGATCTGAGACCTAGAATATGTAGATAACCTGACCATGTTGTATGCTAACTGAAGCCCCGAGATGGTTGCAGGGGAGAGCTAAAACCACTGCAAATAAGCTCATGTAAACAAGACATATGTGATTTCTCCTTTTTTTTTTCTTTTTGGGTCACATTAGGCAATGTTAAGGTGTTACGCCTGGTTCTGCGCTTAGTAATTACTCTTGGTGGTACTCGGGGATCATATGGGATGGTTGGGATTGAACTCAGGTTGGCCGTGTGCAAGGCAAATGCCCTAGCCGCGGTACTATTGATCCAGCCCTGATTTCTCCTTTTTTTTTTTCCTTTCTGCTTTTTGAATCACACCAGGTGATGCACAGGGGTTACTCCTGGCTCATGCACTCAGAAATTACTCCTGGTGGTACTCAGGGGACCATATGGGGTGCTGGGAATCGAACTCGTATTGGCCGTGTGCAAGGCAAATGCGCTACCTGCTGTGCTATTGCTCCAGACCCTGATTTCTCCTTTTTATCTCCAGGAAGCAACCCAAATTGTTTAGCCTTTCAAACAGTGGCTCAAAAGAGAAAAAAAAAAGATTTTGTCATCAAGAAACACTAACTTTTCCTTTTTCGAGTGTAACATCCCCACCCCATCCTCATCCAGTTCATTTTATACCTGAACAGTTATTTTGTTGATATAAGCAAACCTATTCTCAGATTAGTTCCTTATTATTGCTTATCATAATGTATTTATAGACTAAAGGAATAGCATTTTCTAGGTTAGTTTATTACCAATAATGGAGGCAATAAAAATAGCTTGGAATTTATAGAAAGAATTAAAATGACATACCACCAAACTAAGCATTTTAAAACAGATTTTTAAAAATTGCTGTTCAAATTATAATTGTGGGGTACTTCATTCTTTACTGTTAAATGAAGTTTTCTGTTTTTATTTACAAAAGGATGAACAAACAAATTCCCTAGTAAAGACTAGGCGCCGTGTAATCCCATCAACAGCCAAGACTCAGAGACTATAAAACCCAGCTCCTGGAAGAGAACATCACAGAATCTCCTGCCCCCGCGCCTGGCTGTCTTCACTGGGGCCCCTTGAAGGCGAGCGGGTTGAGTTTTCCTCCTTGCCTCGACCAGGGCTCCAGCAGCCGAAGACCTCCAGAACCAGCCACCACCATGCTGAGACCACTCTCCACACACATGAAGGTACTGGCAGAGGAACAAAGGCACGCAGGTCCCGGGGCTGAGATCTCCAGGCCTACTTGGATCGGGGCTGAACATCCACCACCCAGATCCTCCAAATTTCAGTAGGTGGGGATCACACCCACCAACTGGCCCCGGGTGCCGTGTAATCCCATCAACGGCCAAGACTCAGAGACTATAAAACCCAGCTCCCGGACATCTTATTATCTCATTTCTACTTTGGACAAACTGGCAGGCTACCAAATATAACCTGCCCACATGGCGGAGTCTGGCAAACTCCCCGTGGCGTACCCAATATGCTAAATGCCAGTAACAATGATGGGTCTCATTCTCCTAACTCTGAAAGAGCCTTGAATATGGCACTTTTTAAAATCTCAGGGCTAGGACGAAGGAGACGTTACTGGGGCCTGCTCGAGGCAATCGACGAATAACAGGATGGTCGTGATCGTGAAGGACTATTTTGTCTTTCCCCAATAAAGATAAACAATCACATGTTTTTAGGAGTATTGATTGCATGCAATTGACATTTTCCTTCCTTTTTATGATAAAGCACTATATGGTTTCTATGGAGAAAAAAAACTATAAAAACTCAAATAGGAAAAATTTGAAAAGCACTCAAACTGATAATACAGAAATAGCAATGTTAACATTTAGGCCAAATTACCTCTTTTAGTATAAATATAGGCAATATTTTAGTTTTTTAAAAATGGGATCATACTTGGGGGCTGGAGCAATAGCACAGCGGGTAGGGTGTTTGCCTTGCACGCGGCCTATCCGGGTTCAATTCCCAGTATCCCATATGGTTCCCTGAGCACCGCCAAGGGTAATTCCTGAGTGCAGAGCCAGGAGTAACCCCTGTGCATCGCCGGGTGTGACCCCCCAAAAAGAAAAAAATAAAAATAAAAATGGGCTCATATTTTATAGATCCTATGGTAATCTCTTTTTTCAATGCATCACAGCTACCTCTCTATTAATATTATTTCACTTGTTTATTTGTTTTGGGGCCATACTCAGAAGTGCTCAGGGGCTACTCCTGGTTCTGTGCCTGGGGGTTAGTCCTGATGGAGCTCAGAGGACCATGCTCCACATATACTCATTCTGTTGAGCTATGGTTCTCTTCCTCTATTAATATTCATCAGGGTTTGAATGAAAAACAAGCTAGTTTCAATCTTAAAAATCATGCATACTAAATTTGTTACAACATGGAGAGAACTAGAGGATAGCATGCTGAGTGAAGTCAGTCAGGTGGAAAGGGACAGATACAGAATGATCTCTCATATGTAGGGCTGAAAAATACACAGCAAAGTAGCAACAAAGGGTCAAAGGCAATAAAGTGGGAGAATTAATCCACACAATTGAACTGACTGAGGAGATGGAAGGTTGAAAGGGAGGGATCCTTAGGGTAGGAAGGTGAGTACACTGAGGTAAAGCACATTGGATTAGTGTGGTACTGGAATTATGTGCATGGTAAACAACCAATAACAGTACCATACATCGCAGAAACGCAGTCAGTTACAAATGTTTTTAAAAATGCATGCTAAAATATACCTGGAATTTTTCACCTTTGTGCATCTGAGTTGCTCTAAATTCAGGAGAATCTATAAAGGCACAGGGGTAAATGTTATGCAGAAAATGTCCTCGGTAGGAGACCTTCATTCTGATAAGAGAAATCAATGTTAATGTATACAAAGAATTTCAGAAGTAACAGAACATTCTTAAATTCTTCGTAATTTTATGGGATTGCATTTCTATTAAAGTTTTTAAGGCTCTATAGTGGACTGACATAATTGAAAGCACTTCCTGAAGCATAAGTATTTATTTCCCAATAAATTTCAGCAACAAAAATAAGAGTTAGATTCAAGAACTGAATCACACATATGACTTCCAATGGTTATTTATAACTCCAGGAACTGTATAATTTATCATTCAAGCTTGAGCACTCTTGAGAGGGAAAGGAGGAATATGAATGATTATGCCAGAATAATGTATAGTGGTCCTCTCACCAGGATACTTAAGTTCTGTTAGTTGTATTTTTGTGATCTTTGAAAAAAGCAAATCACCTCTAAAACTGACATAATCATCATAACTACTATTAAATCTATTGCAATTTTGTCTCATTAACTTTAAATAAAAGATAAAAAGAGGTCAAACAACTGAAAATCCTAGCAACAAGATTCAGAAAAGGAAATTCTACATAAGCTTAATACGCAGCTCCATAGCATTTCAAAAAGCATTTGCCAGATGAAAATTCATTATCAAACCCTGTAACCACTTCCTGCATTAGTCAACAACATTCTCTTTAAGTCCAGTTCCTATGAAGAGATCATGAAAAGATTCAAGGCAAACAGGGAATTGCAGTTTCCAGAAAGCTCTTACTTTCCCTTCAGGAGAATACTCAGACGCTCATCAACTGAAGTCTGATCCTCTACAGCATAAGTCTGGCCCTTCTTCAAGGTTTGTATCATGCAAAACTGTCCGGTTAATCTTCTGAACAAATCTGGAGGTACACGGAGTGGTTCAAACAATCGCCGGTAGATGCCACTGAGTTCCTTTTCAATCTTTACCTGAAATGCAGCAATGACTAGATGCTGCACCCATGCAGCGGAACCAAAACATTGGCTTTTGTGCTGTAAATATCACACCAAGAACAAGCAAGTCTGAAATACATTCCTGACTGTATTTGTATTTGAGAATCTAGCACCAAGAGTTAAATGGTGATGGAAGCTTAGTTGTAAAACAAATTCTTCTCAGTGAAACTGAACTCTGAGAGCATATGGGGAAGCTTTATGCTACTGATCACATCTCTTCTGTGAAACAACTATGAGGCTTTTGAATTTTATCATAACACTTGCATTCCCAATCTTAGCATTTTCTATAAATAATTACACCTTTCCATTTTTAGGAGAAAATAAAATTTTGTTCTTTAGAAAAAAAATTTATACTATCTTTTATGTAAAAAAAAATTGTTCTCTTAGCAGGAATATAACAAATTTATTCCATATTACTTGTTTCAAATATATAAAGGAATGGCAAATAGAATTATCAGGAAAAAAATCAATGAATGTCAATTTGTGATAATTAACTGCTATATGTTTTTAACCTTTCTTTCTCTAGAAGAGGACAACCATATGCACCATTAGTGAGTGCCATATTCAATGCCACATGGGGGGAAGTTTCTCTTTTCCTTTAAAGGACCTCTTGTAATGTTTCTATATACTACGTTTTAGATTTTTTGTTTGTTTGTTTCTGGTTTTGGGCCATACCTAGTGGTGTTCAGGGATTGCTCCTGGCTCAGTGCTCAGAGACAGTCCTGACAGTGTAGAGGGGACCATATACGGTACAAGAAATAGTACTTGGGTTGATCGTGTGCAAGTGCAGTGCTTTACTCATTATACTTGCCCTTCTTTTAAATATTCTCCATCATTACTTTAAAATATTTTAGGTAATATTTTAAATAGAAATAAGAATAAAATTAATTTGTGAAAATATACACATTAAGCATTTTTATCTCCAGGTAACTCTTACATAATGCACCAAGAAAATCTACAGCTATCACTTATTTATTTCCAAGCTAAGTGAAGGGTGTAACAGTGTGCTAGTACAGCAGCAGCATCTTAAGATAAAAGAAACTTCACAGAATGGAGAACCCACTGACTAATAAATTTGGTAGTGGAAGAAGGAGAAAAGCAAAATGGAGCAATTCTCTTTGTTGTCAGACTCTCCAAAACCCAGTATGTGCCTTATCTCTGGGTCAACCCCAAATCTCTGAAAGCCTCAGTTAACTGTGTGAATGGCAAACTGTCCTGCATGTGAATGAATTTTGGCTTAAATGATCATTCATACAAATAATACCAGTGGCAGCTCCCCTTTGAAGCTTCTAGACCCAGGTTCTGAAAGTTGCTCAGATACAAAATTTGCAATGCTCTTACTTTTCCTGTGGTTCCATTTCAAAGAAGAAGCAGCCTTTATATGTTTCAAAGAAGTAGGCTGATAGTTCAAAAAAAAAGCAGTAATACTAAGTGATTAACTTATTTGGCACTCTAACACCATCAGTTTCTGCGCCTTATGTTCAGAACTTGGGGTTCCAATAAGTTCTGATACTCAGAAAAAGTAATCCTCATGATTACTATCATCTACCTCCTCCACTCCAGAGCTCGAGTAATGAGTGTTTACAATAATTTATTCACAATTATGTCCTACATCCAGTATATATACTAGCACAGTAATGAATTTATGAGCTGAAAAAAATCTATTGACTCATACTCATAATCTGCTCAGCCTGTAAGTCTCAGTTTAAGTCCCAATTCCTTACGAAGAGAAGACCTCATACTTCTCTTTAAAAGCATCTACCCACTTCTTCTTGTTGTTGGAACACCTATTATGTGCTGGCTTGGTTTCTGTGTGAAACGACAAGGAACATAATGGTAAATGTGGTGAAGGTTATTATTCCCAACTACTTGCTACTCTCACCACCTGTAGGAGGATTGAATATACTGACCCATCTCACTTATCAGGTTTGGCCATGTCACTTGCTTTGGTCAGTGAGCATGCGAGGAGAAAGAACATAGGTCCTTTCTGAGAAGTTTTACGAAACACTTAAGTTTTCTCTTCTGTTCTCTTCCCTCTTTCTCTCTGTCATGAGGAGGAAGTCCAAAGAGAACCTGTAGTGTCAGCAGTGACCCTAAAGTGAAGACTTATGGACTAAACTCTCAGGTAACACATAGCTGCAGGGCACATACCAGGGCACTGAGAAAAACAACAACAACCAAAAAACAGTTGCTTAAGGAGTCACTGAAATTTTTATTTTTTTACAAAAGAAAACTGGAGAAAACAGGCAAAAAAAACCCAAGCAAAAGAAAACTGGAGAAAACAGGCAAAAAAACCCCAAGCAAAAGAGCTTGGGTTCCAATGAGAAGTATAATGTTTGTCCCAAAGAGAGTGACAATATCTCTAGGAGGCACTAGTAGCATCAGGGGCAAGTAGTAGATCATTGGAATCATTCAAACTCCAGTTTCCTATGAATTAGCTCACCTTTTTTTTTTCTTTTTGGGTCACACCCGGCAATGCACAGGGGTTACTCCTGGCTTTGCACTTAATTTACTCCTGGCTGTGCTCAGGGAACCACATGGGATGCTGGGAGTTGAACCCAGTCTGCTACATGCAAGGCAAATGCCCTACCCACTGTACTATCGCTCCAGCCCTGAATTATCTCACTTTCTAATTATTTAGGTAGGCATTAGGTGTTTAACTTTACTGACTACTCATATATGCTTTGGATAGTAAATGTGTATGATTTTCAGGAGTGTAGCTATGTTCTTATTTTACTGACATCTGTTTCCGCTTGGTATGACCAAGGAACACAAGGTAACAGAGACAAAAAGAGAAAGTGAAATTCTGATGTTTTATTAACAACTCACCAAAAGTCTAGCTGTCCTTAAATGAACATTCTCATAAATATACTATAATTACATTCTTAAAAAGCATGAAGTGGAAAGAGGGCGGTACCAGCTCGTCCTTCACGACCTACCGAGGTCATGAGTTGCCCCCATCAAACGGCTCTCTGGCACGGCCATGGCTCCAGAGGCAAAAGGACTTAGTCCAGCGCCCAGCAGCTTGCAGAAGAAAAGTGAATGGACCATGCGTTAAACTACAGCGCCATGCCTCCTCGGGAGGGAAAGGGTGTTGCTCCCTTCCGCCTTTTTCCCCCCTGGCAGCAAGGTGGCTGCCGCCTCAGAGCTTATAGAAAAGCCAGGTACGACCCGGAGGTGAAGGGGCAACTGCAGTCTCATGGAAAGGGGGGGTGGTACCGGCACATCCTTCACGCCCTACTGAGGTCATGAGTTGCCCCCCACAAGTGGCTCTCTGGTATGGCCATGGCTCAAGAGGCAAAAGGACTTAGTCCAGAGCCCAGCAGCTTGCAGAAGAAAAGTGAATGGATCATGCGTTAAACTACAGCGCCATGCCTCCCCGGGAGGGAAAGGGTGTTGCTCCCTTCCGCCTTTTTCCCCCCTGGCAGCAAGGTGGCCACCGCCTCAGAGCTAATAAGAAAGCCAGGTATGAGCTGGAGGTGGGGGCAACTGCAGTCTCATGGGAAGGGGGGGGGTACTGGCACGTCCTTCACGCCCTACCGAGGTCATGAATTACCCCCCACGAGTGGCTCTCCGGCACGGCCATAACACCGGACACATAGAAACTAATCTCATAATATCTGGCTCTTTGCAGAAATCCAAAATCGTGGCCACGTGACATTATATGATTCTCATAACCAGCTATAGAAAACAAAATATTTCACAATGCCTTTTCAGCAATTCTGATTGTTTAGGGGGAAATTCTCTAAACAATAATGGTGCATATTTTGTTGAAATAATGAGTGTAATCAATGTAGAGAAGAGTTAAGTAGAAATCATCTGCCTCACAGGCATTTGGAGGGGTGGGAGGGGGGTATACTGGGGTTCTTGGTGGTGAAAAATGAGTACTGGTGAAGGGAAAGGTGTTTGATCATTGTATGACCGAGACTTAAACCTGAAAACTTAGTAACTTTTCCCACAGTGATTCAATAAATAAATATAAAAAGAAAAAAAATTATATTAAAAAAATTAAGGTGAAGTTCATGCCCAATTCAATCAGCTAATCAGTGGCTGAATAAATAGCAGTACTCCTGCAAAAAAAAAAAGCATGAAGTATTTTGAAATCAGTATGTTCTTCATGGAAGCTGCCTATGAGCACTTAAGTTTTATGACTAGGCTAAGTGATTCCCAAATGACATTTGAATATCAATGCCCAAAAGAAATAATGACATTTTATGACTAAAGAGAGAATATTGTGTTCATGTTCTCTCTTTGTAAATTGCTTTAATAATTTAAAAGTTTTTTTTTAAAAACTCATTTGTAAATCATATTCTAAGGCACTCAAATGTTTTACCTTCAGGCCTATATAACCAAAGGTCTAAGCTTGATGGAAATAATATCTAAGGCACTAAAGATGTTAGATGCAGATTCTCAAGTCTAAAAGCGTTTTCCAGAGGATTTCAGCTTTAATAGTTCTCCCATATAAATTAATTTTTAGCAATTACCGGTCTTTTCTTGTACACAAGATATGAAAGATGTAAAATATTGACACCCAAGAACACGGAGTTCCAGATCATTATATCCAAGGCACATCGGTAGAGAGTAGCCCAGATGATATAAAGGGTACATCCTGTTGAATAACAAAATGAACATGTTAGATGTCTACTCGAGCCTCAGCACAGCACAAGATGAACACATGTGTTATCTTTTGTAAATAAAATAAAATGAACACATTTAAGAAGTGCCTCAACTAGATATCAGGTTGAATTTCCTTTAATTTTTTTCCTGATTACTAAAAAGAAGGAAAAGAAAGTTTTGTTGCAGAAAAATTATAATGTATAAAGAAAATTTTATAGGGACCCACTCAACAGTGCTGAGATGGAGGGGCCTGGGGCTACTCCTGACAATGTTTAGACTCAATGGCACTTGGGCCCACAGGTGCTGAGGGCTACCAGGGCCACTGGTGGTGCTGGAGTGCCTGATAACCAGCTCAGGTCATGCATGTGTTGGGCATGAGTGCTATGACTAACACCATATCCCAGGAACCCTCAAATATCTTTCCTTTCTTTCCTTGTTGGGGGTGAGGATAATTGGTGTCGTGCCCAACTGTGCTACAGGCTTATTCCTAGCTCTGTGCTCAGGGATCACTATTGGCAATGCTCTGGGGCAGGGATTAGAGACTATATATAGTGCCAGGGATCAAATGGAGTCAGCTAAATGCAAGGCAAATGCCTTACCTACTATCTCTCTGGCCCCCCAAAGTTTTTTTTAAGAAGAAAACCTATAATTCTAGTAAAGAAAACTACTACTAAAAGTTCCTTAAAGTCTTTATGTATTTTGATCTGATGGCAAAACTATGTTTTCTATTCTGTACTGTACACAATTAAAAAGTCTACTCATATTCCGTGATTTTTCATAGTTTTTATGACTATAACTGAATGGAGCCTAATTTAGTCATCTCATTACTGGGAGACAGATGAGATTTTTAGAGTGTGACTTTTGACCAGCAGCAAGAACATCTTTAAACATAATTATTGATCTGTTTGGGTGCTGTTAGTTAGATTACCTGACAGTAAATCAAACAGATGAACTATAATTAGCTTTTGATGATATTGAAGAGCTGTTTTCCCAAAAGTTTATACAAATTTGGAATCCCAATAACTGGGGATGCTGTATCAAGTTGTTGATATAATAAAATTAGAAACAATTTGATAGTAAGGAAAATATTTCCTTTGTATTTCCATGGCTATTAGTGAAACTGAAATTCTTAGAAAAATCTTTATCATCTAAACTCTCATTTGATTACATCCCTCTTCTATGAAAATTTCTCTCTTTTCTTACTGACTTACTTTCAGAAAAATATCCTCAATTTGGGCCCAGAAAATGACTCATAGGACAAGAGAAATGCTTTGCATATGGAAGCCCTGTGTTTGATCCCCAGAATCTCATGATTTCCTAATCTTTAGGATGTAGAAAAGAGTGTTCCCTCATACTGCTCTGGGAATAACCTCTGACCACAGCTGAGTGTAACCATCAAAACAGTTTATTTTGATCACTTTTATAGTGGGAGAGATACTATACATTTGTAATTTTAAAATTAAAGTATCAATATGATGCAAATACATCACTTTTAAAGGTAGCCTCTTAAAAGTTATTTATTTACAATTTTCTATTTTGTTTGAATGATTTGAATACTTGAAAAATAGCTAAAATGTAAACATAGAAATATATTTCTCTTTTTCCCCTTTTTCTATTTATTTCTCTTTTTCAGCATTGGGAATTGAACCCAAGACCCCACACATGTTGGACAAGTGGTTTATCACTGGGCCACATCCCTAGTACTTGAATGTTCTTTAAGTAATATTATGCAGACAAGAAATTCAAACTGGTACTGAAGAAATTAAAACTATAATTACTTAATGGAGACTGGAGGCTGAGTGGGAGACTGTAGGACCTGAATTATGTCCTGTTTTGGCCACTTTTTCTCTGCCTTCATTTTGTTTGTTTGTTTTTTCAAAGTTTTATTTTATTAAAGGACCGTGAATTACAAAGTTATTCATAGTTGGGCTTTTTGACACACGTTACTCTGACTTCATTCTGGATAAATCCTTTAACCTTTCTAGGCCTCCATTTCTTTAAAAAAGTATAGAACTCCATGATCCCTTCAGCCCTTTCTACATCCTAAAGATTAAATTAGTATTAAGATTCACATCTGAGCAGTAGGGTCTGCCTTTATTTTTCATTTCCATCTCCCCAAGAGGTGACGACCAGAATTACACCCACAAGGTGACTTCTAGTCACTCCTCAGTCTCTCTAGCCATTTCCACTTATTATTTTCATGTCTGTAACATTATTAAAGCTCATTAAAATGAAGTGCTCTTCATTCTCCCTCAAGAGGCTGAATTTCCCTGTCCTCTGGGCCTTCTATTGGAGATCACACACTCAGTCTCAGAGAAATGCCTGTCGCCTTGCAAGCCCAGTTCCAATGTCAAGGTGCCTCAGGGGCACCCTCCTGCAGAGCCCAGCCTCTCCCGTTCTCCCTGATTTGGAGCACACCTGCACCCAGAATTTAGCTCAGCACAGGGGACAGCCCATCTATTTCATTCCAATCTCCACAGATGAGTCCTTCTCAAGGATGGGGACGGTTGCCTTTGATCTGTGTGACACATTACAGGTGCTCAGAAATGCACCCGAGGCAATGAATCATCAGGGAAATAAGCTTGTAGAGAGTAATTTGTTTGCATGAAAGGGGAGAGTGGGTCCATTGGACTGTGATGAAGGAATATTGGTACTTTGTTGATAAGGGTGGTGTGCTATCATTGTACCCTAAAACAAATGCAATCATGTAAACCAATATTCTCTAAATAATTATTTTTAAAAAGAAAAATTTTTCAGGAATCTTGGCAAAAACAAATTCAATTGTTTAAGCATTTTTTTGTGGATCCGTTTTACCTGCTTCATCAGAGTTAGTAAAACAAAAAAAAAAAGAAAATTTTTATTGGCTAATATGTTTGGGAAATTGCTTTTGTTCCAGTTTTGTTCCCAGTTGCTTTCTTATGGACCCCAGCAAGGAAAAAAATGCCTTTTGAATAATAATAAAGTCTATAGAGACTAACTATGTTCCAGGCACTATTAGTCAAAGTTATATAGGTGGATAGCTATTTGTGTGTGTGTGTGTGTATATATATATATATATATATATATATATATATATATCAGATATAAATGTACACTAACTTCACTCTTCAAATACATTAGAAGGGGCTGGAGTGATAGCACAGTGGGTAGGGCGTTTGCCTTACAAGCGGCCAACATGGCCAACCCGAGTTCGATTCCTCCGCCCCTCTTGGAGAGCCTGGCAAGCTACCGAGAATATCTCACCTGCTTGGTAAAGCCTGGCAAGCTCCCCACGGTGTATTCCATATGCCAAACACAGTAACAATTGTCACAATGGAGACGTTACTGGGCCCGCTTGAGCAAATTGATGAACAATGGGAGGACAGTGACAGTGATTATTTTGTTGTTTATGGGGGCATGGGGATCTTCTTGCCAGGCAGAGCTTGGGGTCTATTCTTGACCCTCTGCTAATGACTACTCCTGGCATCCACTTGGTACCATCCACTGACACTAGGGCCTTCTGACACATATGGCCCAGGGAGCCATTTCTCTGGTCCCAACATTAAAGGGTGGAATTATTTTAACCTTATCTGACACATGGGGAAACTGAGGTATAGAGTATTAAGTTACAGGCCCCATTCCACTATTAGCAAGTGATGAAAGGAGATATTTGTTCTACTTCAGAGTTCGTAATGTTAAATGCTAATAGGACTTTTGATATCTAGAAAATCTAAACAACAAATAAAACTTTTTTAAATCTCTGATAAGTAAAGGAGAGATAGAACACATGAGGGCCTATGCTCCAAGTAATCTGAAATACTCCTAATTTTGTAACAAAGACTTAAATGTTTTCTGGTATGCTACAGACCTGATAAGAATTTCAGAAAGTCCATTTGATATCTGTTACAGAGAAGTGCATCGAATCTCAGGAAGACGACTTACCTATAGTGAACATCCCCCTAAGAAGGATCATATGAAGGTGAATAGTAGTTGGAATAACCAACCCAACTGCAAAAAAAATATTTGCTACATGAAAAACTAGATGATGTATCTCTCTCCAGTTTTCACAAGTTGTCTCATTGGAAGGCACAGGTAGAATATTTAATAAGTCAGGTGTAAAATCTATTGCAGTTGATTCTACCAACGGGCTGGATTCAGTATAATTCATCTTGATATTTTTCCTATAAAAATAAAAGACAATTAAAAAAACAGTAATATCTTACATCTCTAGAAGTGTCACACCATATTTTTCCTGCAAACTAAATGTTGTAAGTCAACTTCTTGGATGCTTTGAACCTGGACAGTGGGGGAGAAGGCAGCTGGAATAGAGAAGAGATCATAAGTCAATCATTGTTGGAAGGGTAGTTTGGGATGGGAGATGTGTGCTGAAAGTAGATAAAGGACCAAATGTGATAGCCTCTCAGTATCTGTATTGCAAACCATAATGCCCAAAAGTAGAGAGAGAATGGGGTAAAATGTCTGCCCTAGAGGCAGGGGGAGCGGTAGGACTGGCAGTGGGGAGACTGGGGACATCAGTGGTGGGAAATGTGCACTGGTGGAGGGGTGGGTGTTTGATCATTGTATGACTGAAACTCAAACATGAAAGCTTTGTAACTGTATCTCACGGTGATTAAAAAAAAATCAGCTGGGTTACATATTAAATGGATCCATGTCCTTATGAAATGATAATGATAAATAAGGAAGTAAAAGATGGATGGAGACACTTGTGTGTGGAATATGAATAACTAAAGCAAATGAACTGGCAAGAAACAAGAAAACTAAGTCCTAGATCGAGTGGAATCTGGCTGTTAGCAGAGGGAAGAGGCGGGGAGAAATGAACACAGGCTCTTTGGATGGTGTGATGGGTTTGGAACTCTGGGAGCGGAAACAGCAGCAGAGACAGAGGTATGAAACTAATCCCCTAAAATTCCATGATAATGTAAGAAAATGCTAAGTGAATATAAAAATGAAAAGTATCGATAAAATACCTCCTTTGTCTTTATTTTGTTGTGACTGCTATTGCAAATATACATTGGGTTTTGCTCAGGGATTGTGTGGTACTGGGTATTGAAGCCAAGATCTCACACATTTAAGGCATGTGTTCTATCACTCGAGCCACACCCCTGGCCCTCATTTGCCTTTATGATCCAAACTAAATACACAAGACATGTAGCACAATGCCACATGGACATATGTGCATGCAGATACATATGTCTGTATGTATACATATGTGGTGGGGAAGAGAAATGGGGGGAATTAATTATCCTAAAAAACAAACACCAGTATTCATAAAACAGTAATTACATTTTCATACAGTCATCTATCATAGTCCCACTAATGCATTCAATCAGAACATGGGAAAAATAACTAGAAAAAATTTTTTTAAATAGTGTTTTTAAAATACCCTTTTATATTTACTATTTGAAAGCTTAGAATTATTTGAAAGCTTCATTTTATACTGTCATTAAATCACATCATACATATAGACATTCTGCATGATCATTTATGCACACAATATACACATGTTATAATTTATACGTATACAAAGATGACATTTATACCTTCTTTTATTGTCCAATTTAAATCACTACTTTCTTCCTCATTAATAAAAAGCTAGTGGGTATCATCTCACAAATTAAGATGTAGTAAAATTCTAGTTTATTTATATATGTCATAGATACCTTGACATATATATATATTCAATATTCAATATTAAAATCCATAGCAAACATATTCCTGAGAATACATATTTTACCTGTGCTTACATGAACCTTAACATAAAGTGTTTAGGACTGACCATATTACCAAGATATTTCTTGGTATCTGGTACTTACAAGAAACCCCAAACTGGGTCAGGCAGGTAGTACAGTGGGTAAAGCTCACAGCGGGTAAACTTGCCTTGCAGACACGTACCAGGGTTTCATGCATATGGTCCCCTAAGCATCTCCTGGAGTGATCCTGAGCACAGGGCCAGGAATAAGCCCTGAGCACAGCCAGGTATGACCCCCAAACTGTAAACAACCCTCCCCCAAAAGAGAAAGAGCAAAAGAAACCCAAAACAGAGGCTAGAGAATGAGTTCTGTGGCTGAGATCATTGGCCCCAAGTCAGTCCCTGGTCTCCACTTCACAGTGCTGCACTGAATCTTCTCAGCACTGTAGCTGTGTCTTGTTTTTTGATGAAAGGGGTCAGGGAGGCAGTGGGGGGTTCCCAAGGCCACACTCTGTGATGCAGGTCCATCAGGGCTACACCAGGTGATGTTCCGAGGTCATATGGTGCCAAAGATGGAACCAGTATCTGACTGCTCCCAAACCACTGCGCGATCAATCTCTCAAACTGGGCTCTACAGTTCAAGCCCCACAGCCTTGCTGACTGGGAAGTTCCCTCACACCTCCCATCTTCCAGTACTGCCAGCCATTTCTGGCAGGACCAGGTCAAGTGTGTGAGCCTCCACAACTAAAGAAGGGCAGCCTTTGGCCAGCAGGAGAATTAAAAAGATGTTTGAACACCATGAGCAGGGAGTGTGATCCCTTGTGGGTATATATGTGGACACCAAGCGACTCTGGGTGAGCGCTTATAAGGAAAGGGTGCAACCACTGGCAGGCATGTGTGCAAGCCTTACTAAAGGAGTAACACTCTCAGGCCAGTCTGACTTGAGGGTGTGAGACTGAAATCTGAGAAGTGGCCCTAGGTGAAACCACGATTTAATGTGCAAGCATCACAATCAAGCCCATCACCACCATAACAACAATTATCACATTGGACCCTTGACAAAAGATAGGTCATAGCTTTTAGGAATATGCAAACTATTCTGTTTCAGGAAAAAAATTTCAAATGGAAACCCAACATTCCTTTAAATTTAATTTAGAAACAGGTTTTTCTTCCCAAATAAGATCACACAAGCAACTGTACTTTTCCACTGTCTTCAACATACAAATATAAAGGGTGTAGGTGTTTGAATAATTGATACAGGCTGGGCATTCAAAATGATATTAATAAATAAATGGGGAAGAATGCCACATCTCTTAAAATGATAAAAATTATACACACATTCATAAGCAATCAATAAACTAATCAAGTCCATTAAGGACTTCTTTATATAATCCTGAAGTGGTTCATTAGTGTAAGAGTAATAATTGACACAGGTAATGAAGGTAATGAATGTTACAAAAGCAAAAGAGCACATACAACTCTAACTGCCTTCCAAATGTCTGAGTGAGTCAATAAAAATATAAATCTACTATAATGGGGGGGGCACCATTATTTAAAGGTACATTTATACAAAGTTTGCTCTAAGTGGCCAAATCAGAATTAATCTCATTATTTCCACAGGAAGACCGATATTAAGTGACATAGTTCTTATTATAATGTATTGAATGAACTTTATTATATGTCTATATATTTATATCTATTCTGAGATGCTGATTGCCTTTTATTTATAATTATAGATCAGACTTGACCGACTACAGCTTCCTCTGACACGAGTAAACAGATTCAAGTGGTTTACACCGCACTATTCTTTAGAAATAATTTGTTTAGGGGTAAAGTTAGACTGGTAAATTGGTAAACATAAGGACTAAATTGGACTAAATCAAGATAAATTATCCTTCTCCTATTACTTGGAGCCGAATTCCTTAAATCACTTGTTCGGGTAAATTCCCGTCTTAGGTGTTTGGTAAGAGGTCTAACCAGCCAAACCCCGAAACTAACAGGAGCACTCCCAAAGGACACCAACGAAAATAGAATAACAACAGCCAACAAAGAAGGGACTCGAATTTTCTCCGCAATTCTACCGGAATCTTTGCACATCGTGGGAATGACAAAAAATTATTAAGATACTAAGAGTCATTTCCCACTTATTTTTGTTTCACAGCAGGGAGCTTCTGGGACTTAACTGGTTTGCAACTCATTTCCCAACGCCCAAGAAAATTAGGGCTCTCGGGTAGGGGGCGAGGATGGTAGGGTCCCCGTCATCCGCGCTCCCCGGGGGCTCCGCTCACCTGGCTCCTTCGGGGAGTGTCCTTGTCCACGGTTCTAGACCCAGAAGGGTGAGCCGCGAGCGCAGCACCGCTCCGTCTCACACTCCCTGGGCTAGGAGCAGGAGGGTGACACGGTGCACCCGACTGCGCTCAGCCCTCCAAGGTGGGGGGCGAGGAGGCACCGTCGCGGGTTCTGTTTTGGGGGGAGGGATACTGGACACTCCAGGAGCCCCGCGGGGAGGGAAGAGCCGGAGGAGCTCATCAAGGGCTTCTCGGAGGCAGAGCGCGGGAAAGGACACCCGTTCGGGGCCGGGCTCCCGGGGAGGTGGGGGTGGGTGGGGGACGGGGTGGTGGTGATGGGGAGGGGGGAGGAACGACGCCGCTGGCGCTGCCTTGCCCGAATTGTGGCGGCCCATACCAGAGGGTCTGCCAGCTCAGACCCAGGGAGGAGGGCGGCTTCCAAGGACAGGGGACCCCCCTTGGTGAGGGCGAGGCCCGAGCGAAGGCGCAGCTGCAGCAGGGGCGCCGGGCGGCCGACTCCGGAGCCCGCAAAGTTGTTCCGAGTGGAGCTGGGATCCAACTTGGGCTTCCCGATTTAGCCCGAGAGAGCTCGAGGCTGCAAATAGCCGCGCGCGAGGGGAGGAGACGGGAGGGGTGCAGCCCGCGGCTCGGGGTGGCGCCTCCAAAATCCTTACCTGGCTTGTCCCAGGCACCGAGCCCGGGCCGCCGGGCCAAAGTTTGGGGTGGCAGCGGCTTGCGCTCAGAGGACGCGGACTCGACGGCGCGACGGGCACCCCACTCGGCGGGCCCGCGGGGGCTCGAGTCGCCGGGGCTGGTGCCGGGTCCCGGAGCCCGCAGCGGCTTTGACTAAAATAGGCATCGCAGCAGCGGCGGCGGCGGCGGCGGCCCGGAGTGGGGCGCATCGCGCACGCGCCCCCCGGCGGGCGGAGCCCGGGGCCGTGGCCAGGACTCCCCGGCCGGCTCCTCCTCGTCCACCCCGCGGCGCGCTTTCCAAGCCCCGCGGCCCCTCGTCCGCCTCTGGATTCTGCCCTTGTTTGGGCATCAGCTGGGGGGTGCCGGGCGGCACCTGGGACGGGCAGTCGGTGGGCGCCCCTCGGCCTCCTCTGGGGGAGAGTGTCCCAGCAGGGAGCGAGACCAAGGCGGAGCAGAAGTGCGAACTAGAAGCGTCGTTTCCTCCCCCCGTCAAAGTCCAGCGATCCACTCACACAACTCCTTTCTTGGGACTCCCCACCAAGGAGAGGGATTCCCCTGAGTCTTCAACCCGGCGGCCGAGTCTCGGAGGTTTGGTCCCCACGGACAGGACCCGGCCCGCCAGCCCCGCTGCTGCTGTCTTTGACACAACCCCGCAGGTTCTTCTCCGAAACGTGCATCCATCCCCGGGGGGGCCTCCACCACCAGCGATGCTCCGCCCGGATGCGCCAAGTCAGCTGGGTGGCCTGGAGACCACACGGTGGGAAATAAGATCCGCCAGTCTTGACTGTGTGTCAGGGTCAGCTCTTTGGGTAAGAAACGCAGGGGAAAGTAATGAAGAATTGTCGTGTGGGGGGCAGAAGAGGATGGTTTGGATGGACAGGCAGCAGTTTTCATCTGGAGTGACCAATGGTGGGCAAGAACTCGCGCCGGTTCGTTCGTGTGAGTCAAATGATCTACAAATAAAAAAGGCCACAGGTACCTTATAAAGGGAGAACCGGGGAGAATCTCTTTCCCCATTTGCAGAGTGTTTGAGAAACCGACTGAGTTTGAATCCTGCCTCTTGCTTCCAGTTAGCTGTGTGACCTTGGGTCAGTTCCTTTGATTTTCTTGTGCGCTTTTCCTTTTTATAACACGGGGGTGGTGATGGGGGCGTGGCGGAAAGGAGGATTAAAAAAAATCATAGCACTTGTACTTCATAGGACTATTTTAAAGAAGAAATATTTTATCTTTAAAATATAAATACTTAGAATGGTACTTGGTACATAAAATGTTACACTTTTAAGCTTTGCTAACTGGAATCGTTACAACACTACAAAAATTAATTTTCAAAGCTAATTTTTGGGGGTTTTTTTCCCCAGTGCTTTCCAACTATTTTGGTCATTGCTTCTCAATACATTCTAAGATGCAGATATAATACTAAATGTCCACAAAGACTTTGTATACATCTTCTTTGGAAAGTGGCTTATAATAATGAACACTGAAAAGGGCACCAAGTTAATTATAGGGCATCCAATTTTCTCAGTAGTCATTAGAAATTAATGTACAGGAATATACTAGTCACAGTAATGTCTGCTCATTGGACAGAACAGAAATTGGTAAACTATGATCATTATCCAGTTTTTGTTGTTTTTGAGCCGTTGCTGGGGTGAGTGCTCAGGGCCTACTCCTTGTCTGTGCTCAGGAATCATTCATGATGGGCTCTGGGGACCATATGAAGTGCCAGGGATTGAACCTGGGTCTGCTGTGTATAAGGTAAGTACTAGCCACAGTACCATTTCTCTCTAAGACATGAGAGGTACTACCCACTTTATACAGCCTAAAGCTAAAATGATTTTTACACTGTTTGATATACAAAAGCCAGATGAAGAATATTTCATGGTGTGAAATATATGATGTGAAAAATTAAATGAAATTCAAACATAGTGTTCATAAAGCGTGATTGGAATTCAGCCCCACTCATTCATTTATGGGTGTTTTTGAGCTATAGAAGGAACATTGGGTGGTCTTAGGAGAAATCATATGTCCCCATAAAGCCTGGACTGTTTTTTCCCTGACTCTTTTCTGAAAAATATTTGCTAACCTTTAATATGTAGCACAGCTTCTGACGCGCACAGATATAAGGTGCTTAGATGTGTCATTGAATGCTCAAAATAAACTATTTAAGAAGTAATAACATTTAAGAAGTAATAGCATTTATTTAAGAAGTAATAACTATTTAAGAAGTAATAACATTTATCTCCAGTTATTGAGAGTAAACTGAAGTAAGAGAGAGGTAGAATAACTGTTTCAGAGTCACACCACCAATGGGAAGCTGAACCAGGATGTAATCATCCATTCCAGAGCTAATAGACTCCCCTGCTAGCTACACAGGTCCTGCCACTTTCTGCCTTGTAGCTACAAGGGTTTTGAGGAAACTTGTTAAATAGGACAAGGCAAGATCTGGAAGTGTGTGAAATGTTCTAACCAGCATAATGACCACAGGTGACACAGTGGTGAGGGGAGTAAATGGTGTTTCTCTTTTTCCTCCTTTTGTCACTCCCTCCCTCTCTTCGTTTCTTCCCTCTCTATCCTTGGTTCCTTCTGCTCCTTCTCCTACCTCTTCTGCTAAATTTTCTGCATTGAGTAGATATTGTTTTATAGTAAGTTAAAAACTCTTAGGAGATAGCAAATTCTGGCTTTTTCAGTTTGGTGGGTCAGATTTGAGAGATTTGACTATGGCATCAGTTGTTCCTGGACAGTCCTTTCTTATCAGCTAGATAGAATGCCATGAGAAATCAGGTTATGTCGAAAAATGCATGCTTTTATGAAAAAAATGGAATTGTTTTTAATTGAATCACCATGAGATACACAGTTAAAAAGTTGCTCATGATTGGATTTCAGTCATACAACATTCCAACATTCATCCCTTCACCAGTGTACATTTTCTCACCATCAGTGTCCCCAGTTTCCCTCCCTGCCCAAGCCTGCCTCTATGGAAGCATCTCTCTCACTCTCTCTCTCTTTCTCTCTCTCCCTCCCTCCCTCCCTCTGTCTCTCTCTGTCTCTCTCTCTCTGTTCTCCTGGACATTATGGTTTGCAATACAGGTGCTGAAAGTTTATCAAGTATATCCCCTTTTTTTAATTTTTATTTTGCTATTTTTGGGTCACACCTGGAAATGCACAGGGTTTACTCCTGGCTCATGCACTCAGGAATTACTCCTGGCGGTTCTCGGGGGATCATATGGGATGCTGGGAATAGAACCCGGGTCAGCTGCATGCAAGGCAAACACCCTACCCGCTGTTCTATCACTCTAGCCCCCATGTATATCCCTTTACTTACTTTTAGCACTCAGTTCTTGTACAGAGTTATCATTTTCAACTATCATTGTCATAGTGATACCTTCTCTGCTTCTCTTTCCTAAATGTTCTCCAGATCCACTTATGACAAGTTTTCTACGAATCCTCGTGGCCCTCCTTTCTACTGCCCTTGGGTACTGGTCTCATTCTATATCTATCTCTCTCATTCTGACTCATTTCACTCAGCATGATACTCTCCATATTCATATCCATTTGTAAGTAAATTTCATGACTTCATTTTTCCTGGTAGCTGTGTAATATTTCATTGTGTAGATGTACCATAGTTTCTTTATTCAATCATCTCAGATATTCTAAAACTGAGTTTGTTTTGTCTAGATTATCATTTTTGAAATGTATAGAGCTAGAGATCACATAAGTAATACATTAAATATAAATGTATGCTTTTGATGTCAAGATAAGAGGGTTTTTTTGAGAGATTTTGGTTTTGTTCAATGATTTTTTATTTGGGGTTGCTTTTTGGTTATGTTTTAAAGATTAGGGCCACATCTAGCTGTGCTCAGGGCTTACTGCTGGCTCTGCATTCAGGGATCACTCCTGGTGGGGCTCCAGTAATCAAACCCGGGTCGGCTGTGTGTTTTTGATTTAGATGCAAATCAAAACAATAGTGAGATATCATCTCACACCACAGAGACTGGCATATATAAAAAAGAACAAGAGCAAGCAGTGCTGGTGCAAATGCGGAGGTGGGTAGAAAGAGACTCTCAAGTTGGTGTGAATACGGACTGGCCCAACCTTTTTGGAAAATAATTCAGGCATTCCTGAATTAGAAATTGAGCTCCCATACAACCCAGCAATGTCACATCTGGGATTGTAACCCGGGGAGGGGGGTGCAAAAACATAGAGCAGAAAAGACATTTGCATTTCTATGTTCATTGCAGCATTATTCACAATAGCCAGAGTCTTCAAAAAAAACCAAATGCCTGAGAACAGATGATTGGTTAAAGAAAGTATGGTACATCTACACAATGAAATACTATACGGATGTTAGGAAACATGAAGTTATGAAATTCGGAGAAAAATGTAGGCAGAATCCTCCATAACATTGAAACTAAAGGAATCTTCAAGGATAAATGACCAAGCAAGTGAAAACAAAGATAAACAAATGGGACTACACTTAGCTAAGAAGCTTCTGCACTTCAAAATAAATAGTGACCATGATACAAAGACAGCTCACAGATTGGGAAAAATTATTTATGCAACACCCATCTGATAAAGGGTTAATGTCAAAGATATATAAGGAACTGATAGAACTTTACAAGAAAAAGTGGGGAGAAGAAATGAACTGAAAATTCCTCAAAGAAGAAATACAAATGGCCAAAGGCACAGGAAAAAATGCTCTACATCACTAATAATTGGGGAGATACAAATCAAACCAACAAATGAGATATCATTTCACACCACACAGACTGGCACACATCCAAAAGAGCAAGAACAAACAATCCTGGCAGGGAAAAGGGGATACTCATTTATTGTTGGTGGGAATTCTGACTGGTCCAGCCTTTTGGGAAAACAATATGGACATTCCTCAAAAAGCTAGAAATTGAGCTTCCGTACAACCCAGCAATACCACTTCTAGGAATATACCCCAGGGTCCCAAAAACACACAGCTGAAATGCTATCTGCACTTCTATGTTCATTGCAGCACTATTCACAGTACCTGAGAACAGATGACTGGTTAAAGAAACCATGGTACGTCTACACAATGGAATACTGTGCAGCTGTTAGGAAAAATTAAGTTATGAAATTTGCTTATAAATGGGTGACATGGAGAGTATCATGCTGAGTAAATGAGTCAGAGGAGAGGGATAGATATAGAATGATTGGACTCATTTATGGGATATAAAAAACTATAATATGGCTAATACCCAAGGTCAGTAGAAACAAGATTCACGGTTGG